AAAAAAAAAAAAAAAAGGATCTGCTCAGTTTGAAGCTGGCAGTTTCTGAATTAAAGATGTAGACAGCTCTGCCATCTCTGAGCAATGTCAAATTCTAGGGAACTCCTCACTTCTCCTTCCGAGCCACTCCCTGCTCCTCAGTCTGGAAGGGAGAGAGGAAAGCAATTTTTCTGTTAATGGGAAAGAAAGCCCTTGCCCTAGATGGTGTGGTGCAGATATAGATTGTGTGTGGGTTAACTGTGGTTTTACATTGTGCACGTGTAGATTCCGAGGAAGCTGGAATAATGGAAATTGATTGGAATCAACCATTCTTATTATTAAAGAAATAGAAAAAAAAATCTCGCTACTTCCACATTATCTCCGTGGCATTTTTAATTTCCTGAGTTTATAATTTCTGTTTATTGTCCTGTCGTTTCTGAGATGAGCTGTTCCAACTTTGACATCTTGGACCAGTCATGTCACCTGTCCTGGCCTCAGTTTCCCCACTTGTAAAACGAGGGGAGAGGAATCCAGGCTTCCTTTGGGCCTTGTCCTTTTGGGGGTCACCAAGCTGGTGTCAGAAATGGACTGATTGTGTAACCTGACCAGCCATACCTTGTTTGTGATCTGCAGGCCTCTCTCGGTTTGTTCCCTCAGAAACAGCCCCTAAACAACCCAAGACCTTTGCGTTTTGAAAACCCAGGGCTCAGAGCTTCAGGAACAGTTAATTACCAAAGCTTTCCACGCAGCAGCGACGCTGGCAGCCTGCAGGTTGTGATTCTCTCCTGTCTTCCCACTCTCTCCTCCCAGCTTTTATACTTGCTAAGGGATTTTACCCCCAACCTCCTGGCTTGGGAGAATGGAAGAATGCTCAGTAATCCCGCCTTGCTTTTAATTCCATGTGCCAGAGACTGGCATCGAAGGGCTGCCCTGGCCTTCGTGTGCCCCTGGCTTTAAGCTTCCCTTGCCAGTAAAAATGAAGCCTTTGTACAGACTGAACATTGTGGGAGATGCAGAAAAGCCAGCTCTCGGTTCCTGCCCTCAAGGGGAGGTCAGCCTCGCGGAGTGTGGCAAAATGGGGATTGACAAAACTTCAAGTGCAAGGCTGGGCTCTGGACTGGACCACTTGAGGTCAAGTTCTGGGGCTCTGTGACCTTAGACAAGTGGCTTATCTGTATGAAGCCTTTGTACAGACTGAACATTGTGGGAGATGCAGAAAAGCCAGCTCTCGGTTCCTGCCCTCAAGGGGAGGTCAGCCTCGCGGAGTGTGGCAAAATGGGGATTGACAAAACTTCAAGTGCAAGGCTGGGCTCTGGACTGGACCACTTGAGGTCAAGTCCTGGGGCTCTGTGACCTTAGGCAAGTGGCTTATCCTTTCTGAGCCTCACTTTTCTCATCTGTAAAGTGGGGGGATGATAATAGATCTTATCTTAGAGGGTTTTTAAATGGATGAGTTATATAAATACATATAAAGCACGTAGAACATGCCTGGCAGGCAGTAAGCTATATAAGTATTAGTTATTATAATTAATTATTATGTTACATGATAATTAAACAATACAGGTGAGTAGGATTATAGGATTCCAGGATCCAGAGAATAGGGGTTATCAGGGAGGGCTGCCTGGAGAAAGTGAGAACCCTCTCCACTAAGACTTTGAGTGGATTTTGTTTTGACCATGTAAACTCTGGCCACAGGAAACAGTGGTTTTGTTGGGTTCCGGGCTTGGGACTCTGTGCTTTCCCCAGATTCTCCCCATCTTTTCCAACATCCTTTAGGGACTGGATTGCACCAACTTCCCCATCTCCAAGGGGGACTGACAGCGTTGGTGCCCTCTTCTGTGTGTATGTGTGTGTGTATTTGAGTCATGGAAAGGCAAGGGCAGCCCACTGGGAGGATGCTGGCTCTCTCTCTCGGAAGACAGCACAGGAGTTGTGAGAGAAATTGCCCTGGCTTCTGATTCCCGGACAGTGGATCTCAACATTTAGAAGCTCCCACTGGGTTGAGCGCTCCCTGTGTGGTGTGCTCTTGGACAGTATTGATGAGGATGACAACCATCAGAGTTGTGACTGCATAGGAGCTGATACTGACTCACCATATACTGTTCTAAGCACTTTGCATGTACCAACTCATTTGCGTTTCCCAA